ACATTAGATAAGCCAAGACCATCATTTTCTATTTCAACCAGTTCCTTTTCACTAGGTCCCAAAATATTGTTAGTATTAATATGGCCATTTGCAACAACAACTTCCTGATTAAGAGCAAAGCAACTAACATCATCAACATTAACAGGATTATTAGTATTTGAAGCATAATTTAAAATAACTAAAGTAGAAGTAGTATTATTTAGAGAAGAAGAATCCTTTAAACCATGATTATCCACTATATCACCAACATTCTATGATAGTGCCAATGTAGAAATTTTTTCAGATTTTCTGTAGGAGAAGTTTCCAAAATAGGTGGGTTCAACAAAAAATCAGCAAATTCTCAAATTCCACTTTTGAAAATATTCATTTAGTTTTGAACCTAACTAGACCTCACTCGTGTACTTCTTCGATACATCAAGTTCCACAAGAACCCTAGCAATAGATGGGCAGGTTATAGAAGAAGTGGCCTGATCAGTTTGAAATGGTCTTCCAAAAATTGAAGCAAGGCCAAAAAGATTTTGCGAGTTAAAAAAATGCAATCTCAAATTTGGAAATAAAAGCCAAACCGGAGCAATGGGAGATTCCTCCCTCACATCAAAGTTTGGCATTCACTTGAGAAGATGCATTTGGCGTCCTTGAATGTAATAGGATCTACGAGCAAAAATATGACTATAATCAAGGTCATTCATGAGTTGAATCGCTACATGCCGCGGGTCTAGCAAACCCACATGAAATGCTCCAAATAATTTCAAACTCACAAAGAACTTACAGATAGCATCTAGATTCGAGCGACGCAACAAAATTTTCCAACAAGAGTTAGGGCAAACAGAGCAGCTAACTATGACACAACCGTGTCATCAAACAACAATGCCAAACAACCCTTAAAAGATGATTGAAAAAAAATGGACCTTAGGAGAAGAAGAGGAAGAACCTGAAACCACATCTTTAAAGGAACAAGAAGACACATTCGACGGGATAGAAGATGACCGCATCGTCATCGCCCGAAAGAAAACCTCAAGAGAAACTCAAAAGAAACCCACAAACAAACAAAAGTCAGGCCAACAATTGAGAAGAAGAAAAAAAAATCAAACCCGAACGCCAGAGGAACGAAGAACACTGAGATTCTATATTGTGCTTGCTGATGAGACTTTGTACTAGTTCTTACAATGTTTTATTTGTTTATGATTTCATGTGTTCTTTTTGTGATTAGTTCAGTTTCTAGAATGTTGTATTGGCGATATGTTTTTTGAATGAAATGATGGAATGTTATTTTGACATGTATTGCTATTTCTCTTCGTGAATTATTTATATTTTTTAGAGATAAATCATTTGTGGTTGATCTTTAGAATGGAATTTTGAATTATTTTTCTCTACAAATTAATTTTCTTGCAAAATTTAGTATTTTAAAATTTTAAATTACATTATGACTAGATGTAGTTCAATAAATCAATTTCATGTTCTTATAGACAAGTATTACTTTGTTATAATTATTACAAAATAGATATCTTATTTTATTTATTTTTTTAATGTGTTTATTTTTATTAATTATTGGAATTTGAGTTAAGATTTATTGATATTAAAAACACTGAAAAAGTAAAAAAAGTAAAAGAAAAAGATGTGTAATATTCGTTAAAATGAAAAGAGACACAAAATTAGCCCAAACAGAAAAGATGCACAAAGTGTGCAAAAAATAATTTAAAATATGTGTTATGTTGCCAATTAAGAAATTCATACTGTTCTTTCCTTTATCATTCTATCTCTTGTACAAATCCAAATAATTGACAATCATCTTCACTATTGAATTAGAAACTAATTAATCATTATTTCATCATTTTTTCAATAATTAATTTTTTTAATTTGCCTAGAATGAACAATAAACCTGGTTTACTTCTCTTATTTTAGTTGTCCTTTGATTTAAATTTTGAATTTTTTTTTTAGCTTTAAGAAGTTAATGTGGTATTTGCAATTAGTTTAAAATCTTCTTCTTCATCAACTACTTTGATTTATCTATAGAAATTTTTCACTTCAAGATGTACTTTCCTTTTTATTATTATCATAAGGGGGGGTCATTAGTTATTGTTTGATATTATTTTTGTTTGATTATCTTTGATGTTGTTTAATGTGTGATATGGTTTGATGTTGTTTGATGTATGTGTATATGATTATTTGTTGTGTGATTTTTCTGATTTGTGTAGTGTGTTTTTTTTTTTTTTTTTTTTGTATTTTGGTTTTATTTTATTTCTTTTTAAATTATGGTTGTGTTTTTTAACTTTATTGGAATCCCTTGTTTTAAATTGGTAATTCATTTAGGGGGAGCTTAGAAGAAAAATTGCTTTAAGTGTTAACTCAAATAATAATTATTTTTCCATCATAAAAAAATGGGAGATTATTGCATATTAGATTTCAAAATTATATTTTTATATCATGTGAATTTTTTATGATACCAAAATATTATTGTGTTAATTACTATTTATCCAAACATACATTGGATATATCTTTTCTGTGTTGTTTGTGTGTACTAACATTTTAGGAAAATCTTACTCCAAGCTGCCAAATACTTCAAGATAGATTATATTAGGGTTTCTTATAATTAAAGTATGTATTTTTTTTTTTTTTAGTCTGAGAGAGTGTGATTATAGTTGTGTAACCATGCACACACATACTATGGGAGTGAGTCAAAACTTGTATTTTTAAAACTAATCATAATGTACAATTCTAGAATCATACGTGATGATTTGACAAGAATATTCCTTCAGAATGAAGTTAATCAAATAATGGCATAGAAAATTTCTTTTATATCATATTGTACAAAGTTGGATTCATACAGATGATGTTTAGAGTACGAAATAGATACGTACCAGTTCATCCCAAACAAACTCATCGATTTTTTAACTGATAGTACTGCACAAAGTGGAGTTTGTACAAACGATGTCTAGAGTACAAAATAGGTTCATACCAGTTCGTCCCATATGAATAAGTAAATTTTTTGAATTGTTCATAATATACAAAATAGAAACGACATCTAGAGTATGAAATGGGCTCATTCATGTTTATACCATACGAAGCATGATTTGATTTAACTAGTTTATACTATACGATATAGGGTTCATTTTGACGATGACCAGAGTACGAAATGGATTTGTACATAATTGTACCAAACAAAAATGTTCAGTTTTGAAATGTTTATATTGTACGATGTCAATTCATACATATGACTGACATAGTATGAAAATAGGTTCGTACATGTTCATACATAACCTTTATTAACTATTTATACATACGAAGTATGATTGTACTATACGATCCAAGTATGTTTAACTTGAAATTTTTAGTTTTAAAGATAGTTTTTCTTATTTTTTATATATAAGAGTCTTAAAATTTGACTATCATACTTTTCTTCTACAAATTTTCTCTTGGGAGTGATAGAGAGAGTGGTTTGGGAGTGGATATTGGTACTCCATCACCAAAAGGGTGAGAAAGGATGTTGGTACTCTGCCATCACCTAGAGAGTGAGAAAGGATGATGGTACTCTGTCGCACTGAGGTTTGGTGAAAGAGAGGTTATTTTAAGGGATTCTCCGCCTTACTGTGGGAGCAAAAGAAGAGTCACTTTGGTATAGTGTAATAACTGAAGAGTGAGTCTTCAGAGAGTGGACGTAGTTCTAGTTGGACTGAGCCATTATAAAATTTGGTGTTTTTTTGTCTTTACTTTTTGCTGCTTTTTATTTTCTACACATTTACTTTTTGTGGTTAAAAAAATTTATTTTGAGAAAATTTATCATTGTGCATAAAATCTTAAATTGGTTTTCTAAATTATCAAGAAT